GGGATGTGCCCGCAACCAAGGTACATGCCCTTGACCGGAATCGAACCTGGGACCCTTGAGTCTGCAGGCTGACGCTCTATCCACTGAGCCAACCGGTTAGGGCCATTGTCAAATCTTTGTTGCTGGTTTCTTTTGCAATGCAGAAGATTTTTATTTTGATGTAGTGCCATTGTTTATTTTCTCCTCAGTTTCCTTTGCCCTAGGAGCTGTATCGGTAAACATATAGCTGCGAGAGATGTCTCAGATTTTTCTGCCTATGGTTTCTTTCTTCTAGGATTTTTTCATGGTTTCATAACTTACATTTAAGTCTTTTATCCATTTTGAGTTTATTTTTGTGTATGATGTAAGTTTGTGGTCTAGTTTCATTTTTTGCATGTACCTGTCCAATTTTCCCAACACCATTTATTGAAGAAACTGTCCTGACTCCAATGTATGCTCTTGCCTCTTTGTCAAATATTAATGGAGTGTGATGGCTTGGGTCAATTTCTGGGGTCTCTGCAAAACTTCTTTACCTCATACTATTAAACTTTTGATCACTTCTGATATTTTCCGCTTTCATAGCATTTTTAATTAGACTTCTAACTTCTGAATTCCCATATCTGAAACTATTACATCCTACATCCTGCAATGCAGCCAACAGTTAGAAGAAAGGTTTTTTTCTTCAAAGACATGGCCACCTTTTTTCTCACGTATGAGATAAGAAGCAGTGTTTCAATCTTGTTAAGTGGTCCAGATTCATAAGCATAAGTGATTTCCCTGTCATCTTCCCAAATTGTGTTAAGAGAAAAATTATATTGGTGAATCCGCTTGCTTCCTCTATGCAGCCTTACCACATTTTGCTCATGAAAGCTGATGATTTCACTGGAAACAATTTTGAATGTTTATTCATTACAAATACTGTAGAAAATAGAATCCCCCATCCATAATTCTACCACCTAATCAACCCAATACAATTTTTCATTAAATTGCACTGCTGTATCTGATTAGGACATTGTCTGAAAACAATTAGTTCACCTCATCTGATGAATAGACAGTAAATTAAAACGCGCTATTTTTAAGCACTACAATATTTCCCTTATCTAGGTGCTCTAAAAGTTAAACAGAATATAATATAAGAAATTTGAATGAACTGTATGATCAGGTAAAAATCAAGTGTGTTGTTAAACTTTTACTGATACCAATGCATTTCCAATTTGTAAATAGGAATATAAAATTAATATTTAATTTTAGTGATCAAGATCAAATCTGTACCAGATAAAAGGGAGGCGCCTAAAGTTTAATGTCCTAAATAAAAACACACACACTCTCTCTCTTCATCCTAGATTTTCAGCCCTCTTTTGAGAATGAATTAAATGACCCATTTTATTGCTGTTTATTCTAAAACTAAATGTGAAATATGAGTTTAGCTTACAGTATATTGCCCCGTTGTCCTTGTCAAAAGTCTACTATGATTTAATTGTCACAATCACTGTTTCTGTTCAAACAAGTTAATATAATAAATAGCATGGTAACACAGAAAGAATGATTATTTTGGAGTAAATATGATTATTCTTTCCTGTTTTGTTAAATTATTTTGTCTGTGCTTATATACCTCCTGAAGGTGGATGGAAAACAAAATGAGGTACAGACACCCCCTCATAAAGATAGTTAAATACCTTCATATTTATTTTGGATTTACAATCTGATTGTCTACAATGCTCTGATTGGCACTGGGATTTTATACATAGAGTCCAGATCAAACTTAATATGCTCACTGCCATGATACAATTCCTTGTATATTAATGGAAAATATCATGGGTCTTATAACTATAAACATCTACACTAATAAAAGACAAACATGCAAATTGACCGTACCTTTGATACACCTTAAGCCATGCCCACCAGCCAATCAGAGAGACTATATGCAAATTAACCCAACCAAGATGGCAGCCGGCAGCCATGGAGCTGGAGTGAGCAGGAGGTTTGGTTGCCCCAGTGATGAAGGGAGCCAAGCTTCCCACTTGTGGTGGCCCCGGCTCTGAGCTCCACTCAAGCAACAAAGTTTCAATTATAGAAGGTAAATAAACCCTAGATACCTGCTTTAAGCTGGCCGTGGCCACGGAGCTAGACTGAGCAGGAGCCTTGGTTGCCCCTGGCGATGGAGGAAGCCAAGCTTCCCTCCCACCTGCCCTGGCCAGATTTGAGCTCCTCTCAAGGCTACAAAGTTTAAATTATAGAAGGTAAATAAATCCCAGAATAAAAAAAAAAAAAAAGGAAAAAAGGAGAGTCTGGGAGCTTCCATCGCCAGGGGGGTGGGGGGCCCTTGGCCAGCCTGCAAAACGGCCCTCAGCCCCTCAACCAGGCTGGCCAGGCATCCAAGCGGGACCCCCACCCTGATACGGGACACCCTTCAGGGCAAACCAGCCGCACCCACCCATGCACCAGGCCTCTATCCTATGTAAAAAAAAGGGTGATATGCAAACTGACCCTGACAACAGAACTACTGGGAATGACTGGTCACTATGACACACACTGACCACCAGGGGGCAGACGCTCAATGCAGGAGCATCTGCAGGGGGAGCTCTGCTCAGCCACAAGCCAAGCTGATGGCTGCCAGTACAACTGTGGTGGTGGGAGCCTCTCCCACCTCCTCAGCAACGCTAAGGATGTCCGACTGCAGCTTAGGCCTGCCCCCGCTGGCAAGTGGACATCCTCTGAGGGCTCCCAGGCTGCCAGAGGGATGTCTTATTGCCAGCTTATGCCCAATCCCCTGGGAGCGGGCCTAAGCCAGCAGGTGGTCATCCCCCCGAGGGGTCCCAGACTGTGAGAGGGCACAGGCCGGGCTAAGGGACCCCCTACCCCCGAGTGCACAAATTTTTGTACACCGGGCCTCTAGTATAACTATAAAAGATATTCTATGCCATTATATGTGAAATGTTGTTCAGACTTATTCCTCAGCCCAGATTTGCCCTAGTAGAGAGAAAGTGAGCAGGGCAGTTACATACTAGTATGTGTGAAGTAAAATTCAAAGGTTGTGTGGCCATTATAATGTCTTTCAGCAAGAGTTCTTTTGGTCTAGAGTTAGAAGCATCCTAATTTGATTCTAGACTCATGACTGAAGTGAATAATGCACAGTTTATCCTTGAAAACTTTGGGTTCAGGCATTTTTCAAAGCATTGAATATTTTCTCATGATCACTTTTAATGTGGACCCTTGTCTGTGTTTAAAACATACACACACATTCTCTAAAAAAACAGAAAATATAATCAACCAAGAAATTTGTGAACCGAAAGCATCTCCAGGTAAATACACATATCAAGCAAAGTTTTACTTTTTAATGTTTTGAGATATTTTTAATCTTGAATTTGGGTACAAAATGTGAAGTAACACCTTGAAATATTAGTGTCCTGCCATGGCGTCATTCTAAATAGGATCTGGAAATGACTAAGCTGAACCATTAGTGGGAAGTTGTCCTCTAAAAATTTGGCAATAAAATATGTGATTTTCAAAATTCCTGTCCCTTTGGGAAGTGCCTGTCTCAAGTCTCAGAAATTCTGTTTTGTCTTTGCATTTATATTTTTATTCAACAAATACTTGTAATGTGTTATAGTGCAACAGAAAGTATATAAAAAGTTAAGAAGTCATATGCTTTTTGTTGACCATAAACAGCTAGATGTTTAGAATAAGAAATGGACAATTTAGGGAAATGTCAAATACAGATTTGTTCCAACACATAGAAAGGTTTTTTTTTCCATATATATATGGAAATATATATATAAGATATATAAGATATATATATAAGATATATATATATATCTTATATCTAAAAAGTTAGCTGGGTTGCTTGGATCAGTTATGAAAATTAGAGCATAGGACATGTATTTAGGTTATACAAATGTGAATATTCATAGGTGTGATATGCAATTTGCTTATATTAGAAAATATTTTTAATCTTGAGAGATGTATATTAAAGTATTTAGAGCTGAAATAGCCTGATATGTATTACCACCAAATGATTCAGCAAACAAACAAACAAAAAGAAGTGAGGGCATGTATTCAAAAGTTAACTTTTGGTAAATCTAGGTAAGGATTATATGAGTACTCATCTACTATTCATTCAACCTTCTGTAGGTCTGAATATTTGCTCCATAAAAACAAAACAAATGAGTTACAATTTCATACTCATTAGTTTGAAAAAAAATAGCCTGATGAAATGAACTGTTGGTGCAGAAGTGAGAACGATGTGGAGCAACAGAAACTTGTATTGCTGGTAGACTCTAACTTCGGAAAATATTTTGTCACTAGCTAGTTGAGTAGAAGACATTAATTATATCCTCTGCCTAGGCAATCCCCTTTCTTGTTGTTTGTCTCAAGAAAGCCCTGCTATGGCCATCAGGAGACATTAATAAAACTGTTTTAGGCAACTTGTTTTAAAAAGCAAAAATTTGGAAACACTCAACTGTAAAAAAAAAAGCAACAAATAAATTATGCTATGTAAATAGAAAATAAAATACCATGTAACAATGAAAGTAAATTATGGCTCTAAGCATCAACCTGGGTTATTCTCAGAAATAAATTATTGATTTAAAATAGCACACAGTGTGAAGGTCAAAAGTATACAACCCTTAGTATTTATTTGGAATAAAGTTTATCCTGAAATGTTTTATTTAAAGCTGTCCATACCTCACAGCTGTCAATCATTTAGTTGAGACTTATCAAAGTCTTATGTCTGTCCCAAATGCCAAGAGGACAGCCTATGACCAGAGAAAGCACAGGGGATCCTCAGCTAGAGGTACCTTCTCAATAGTTTTCCTGCAGCATAAGAATAAAGGCACTGCCCTCCTTGGGCCTATGTTTATATAAATGTGAGTGCGTTGGTTAGGTGGTAAATGAGAAACTGAATGTTAGTGAGAATTAAAGAATTAAAAGTGACACAGGCAGTTACGACTTTTTTGTTGACCAGAGAGATACTCTTTAAATCTTAAAAAAAAATAATAATGATCGTTTGTATTTGTTTGCAGAGTAAAAGTGAGCAAATAACCATGCGGCACCTAACATCGGGAAACTGGGAAGTGATAAAGATCTTGGCATACGATGAAACTACTCAAAAAATGTGAGCACGTTTTGGTTCTATAGTCAGGCTGGAAGTCAGGGTTGTCAACTGCAGTATTTTCTGCCAGATTTATGTTTTGCCAACTGTGGTGCTAGTCCAAACAACTTGGCCATGTAGCAACCTTTTCTTTAAAGACTCTCTCTATCCATCACCTGAAGAGACACTTATACAGACACTTGCGCACACACACACACACACACACACACACACATGCACACACACATGCACACACCCATATGCAGAGAGATTGAGAGAGATCTTAAAAAGCGTGATAATATTTTAAGAAAAAGTATATATTTCCCAAATGGGTCAAACTCCTGTATCAAAGTTCTGTGGTTAATAACAAAAAAGCTCTTCTATATTCTGGATAGTGTAAACATGTTGATTTGTGCCTGATGCTTGTGCTGTTTTCTTTCCTGGGCAGTTACTTTCTGAGCACGGAGTCTTCCCCCAGAGGGAGGCAGCTGTACAGGTAAGCAGTGTAGGATCTCTCTCTATACAGGTTGATTTCTCCATGTCCGTTATACAGCTTAATGAGAGGATGAAAGATTCTGGAGGGGTTTTTTGACGTGGCTTGGGGAGAGCCAGCTCTGCATGACCTTCACACTCTTGGTCCAGCCCCTCAGCCCCAACCTTTACGATCCTCAAGGTTAGAACCGGAGTGCAGACAATATTGCTGCTTCTTTATTTTTTTTCTCACCTGCTTCTACAGTCTCAAAGTATTTTTTTTTTTTTCCTGAGGCTTGGTTCTTTTAACCGCCATCACCACAGGCATTCACATATTTCACCACTGGCCTTTCTTCTACTAAGCCTCATTTTGCATTTTCAGTGTCTTAATATTGTCCACATGCAGCTTATTTCTGAACAAAAGAAAGCATTGTGAGCACTTATAGACTGGATCCGGTGCAAGTTTCTCTCCCCACCCCCCCGCACATAGTGTGCACAATCCATTAAGCTTATTTAAGCCAGTACTGCTTGTTGTTTACCAACATAAAGCAATGAATGGGGCATACTTCCATCTGCCAATATTTCCAAGTGGAAAGCTCTATTCATAAAAGGGGCTTAAGGTCATACCCATGTAGTATCGAAATGCCTCTTCACTCAGAAAGCTTTCAGCAGGACCTCACAAGAATGACTGCTATTTTTGTCTGGCAAGCAACTTATTAATTCTAGACTTTATATATACTTTCTAATTTCCATTTCACAGTTTTAAAGTGTCAAAACTGCCATGGCATTTTCTCAGTGGAAATTCATCATGTTTGAAGCAGTGTCACCACTGACTCTTTACCAAGTAGCCTAGACTTCCCTTTGAGAGTAAAAATACATGTTTAAAGTGCTCTAGCTCCCTCTATTTCACCCATATGCTCTCATTTATGCACATATTGCTTTTATCTGAAGCAAGCCTTTCCTATTTATCACCCATTCCAATATGTCATTTTCATATTCTTTGTCTTTTCTCTTGGAGTCTAGAAGCCATAGTCTCAATCCTAATGACTTTCAAAGGAAGAGCAGCTAACTGTTTGTTTAAAGACACTGGTTCTAACTTTGGTTCAGATGTCTTCAATAAAGTACTGGTCACTTTTTTTTTTTTTTTTTTTTTTTGGTTACCTGAAGCTTATCTTCCTTGACACTGAAACTATGATTGGTATTGACAGTCATGAGCAATACTTTAAGATGTGGAAATACTTGACCAATATTTTATTTCTCCCATTTTATAAAAGTCCTAGAGGAAAAATTAGTTTCAGAAGATTACACTTGGCCAGGTTGAGCCAATGGAATTCCCTCCATTCCTCTTCCCATTATTAGCCTAAAATGTGATTTGAATCACAATGACTTCTTAGATTTGTGTGCTTGACTTATCTCTGTAGTGACTGAGGCAGAAGAGTCAATCTCTCTGTGACTGGTGCTAGCATAGCAGGCTGTGCTATAAAGAAAATGTAGTACCAATAAATTTCCCCTTAAACAGCTCATCAAATGCCAGTTGGCTTGACTGTAAGATAATGTTAGTGTTTAATCCAGAAAACTCAATCAATGTCTTGTCCAGGCCATAAAAATACTCATTGGCTGACAATTTATGGGATTAGACACCTCTGCAGAACCAGCACTGCTACCAGATTCAGTGTTACCATTTGATCTTACAATTTGCATTTCTTATTTAAATAATTTAAGAGTCTAAATTATGAGAAAATACCAACATAAAACTCTCTGGAACCTGGATCTGAAAAGTTATACAGAGTCGAGAGTAAAGGTTTTAAATTCTAGTTATGTCACTATATACCTGAGTGTGAATAGTACATATTCTTAATCTCTCTGTAGTGATGGTTGCACAACATTGTGAATGTAATTAATGACATTGAAATATACACTTAAAAATGGTTAGAATGGCAAATTATATATATATATATATATATATATATATATATATATATATATATATCTCATAAGGTGAAACTGGCTACTGTGTTTAAGTGCCTAGTGTATATTAATCACCTTTACTAGTAAAGGAACGTTTTGAATTATGATGAGCTCAGGATGCTTCAGCTATGAAACGTGACTCTGTGAACTGTACTTGATTGCTTCTGTGCTTCTGATGCCACATCAACACCCTGTCCCTGCCCCCCGCCCCATGCCTGCAGCATATTGCACATCAAAAGCAGCATGACCATGATTCATTTCCAACTGCACAGCCAAAATCATGTTTTGTTTCAAAATAAAATTGAATTTTTTGTCAAATCAAATTTTATTAAATGTATTATCAACAGTGTTTTACCTATTAGCATAGATAATTTATGATTCATCTCTATTTAAAAAAATAAATGATTCTAGATATGAAATTTAACCTTGGAGATATAGCTCAACCCCTCTGACCTTAAGCACCACTATTTGTAATATAAAAAGATGATTGATTTTTCTTTTTACTTACCCCCCTGATGTTGCAAAATATGTATGATTTTTAACTCTATATAATGATATAAAAATAACTTTCTTTACCAAAAAATTCATGGCACATACTTAGTGGGAAAAAATTTCACACTAATATTAAATTCCAATTATTAGAGTGTCACATTAAATAAATGAGCTTGATTTTTTAAGTATGATATATGAAAACATTTATTAGTTCTTTCAATTAGTGTTTATTGATAATGACTTTATGTTAGTCTTTATGGGCAATTAGTTTTAAGACTTTACAAAGAAATACCTGTAGAGAAATGCAGTAAAGAGTGTTTTATTGAGTTCTGTGGAAATCGGTTTCTTTATTTATAAGCATACATACATACATAGATACAGCTGTACATAGTTTTAATTTTGTTATAGAGAAGAAAAATGTCCACATGCTAACATTAGGAATGGAAATTGACTTTCCATTTGTATGGCAAGTCATAATTTATAAGGAACCTCAATGTAAGTAATGCTGGAGCTCCTCTGTTAATGTTGACGTTAAAATATAGACGCCACAGAATCAAGTACCTGGAATGGTAGCATTTCTAATGTGTGTTTTTCCCCCCAGTGCTTCTACCGAAGGATTATTGAATCGTCAATGCATTTCATGTAATTTTATGAAAGAACAATGTACATATTTTGATGCCAGTTTTAGTCCCATGAATCAACATTTCTTATTACTCTGTAAAGGTAACAGATGATTTCTGATACAGTTTATTTTATTGATTTTATATGTCCAGCATCTATTACTATCATTAATAACTGCTATTCTCTAGTTATATGAATTTTTCTTAATATATGTTTTTAAGTTATAAATTATGGACTTACTGTGACACAAATTATATTCATAAACTTCATTTAGAAATAGGATTGGAGAGTAAATACACACAACCAGAAAGGACTATTTAAACATGAACGATTTAAAAAATTCATGCCACAATAATAAAGTAATTTAGCTATATTTAGAAAAACAATAGTCATTAAAATAATGGCTAAGTTGTTAAAATATTTAGGATATACAGAAATTTAATTTTCTGGGTCTGGTCCCTTTCAATTCTGACAAATTACACTCACCCCAATTATTTACTCTACCTGTAATTAGTATAGTCTTTGATAGGGGCATGATATCACTAGGTTATATTGATAGAAATCATTGTCCCTTTAAGAGGACACTGTATTTCCCAGAGCTGAAATGGGAGACATGTCCTCCTATACTATAGTATTATCAATTGAGTGCTACTGGTTCAGCTGGCACCTAGGCTGTCCTGTTTTAAGACAACATGAGGAATGAACCAACACTTAGTCATTTAAATTAATTTTATTCTTGATGTCTAAAATGAAGTAATCAAAAAAGAAAAGTACTGATTGATGTCACCAGGGAAAAACCATTAGACCTCTAGATAGAGTTTCCTAATTCATCTTTGTCGAATCATAGAAATTTCTTATGGTTACACCTGAATTAACTAGTATATTTGAAATAATTAGTGATTCCAGTTAACATATTTTAAAAATTAGTATATAATCTGCTCTAATTTTTATTTATCTTGGGTATGAAATAATTCTAATAGGCAGGGGTTATCTCTTTCTTGGCTGACTGGGTAAATAGAATTTAATCTTGCTTGAGCAGATGATGGAGAGGTCAAGGGTCATGAACCAGCTTTCTGAATATCTGTGACTAATCTATAAAAGACTAGAGAAAGAGAGAGCAAGGCACATAATATTAGCTTAAAACCATAGAAATATGGATGCATGGGGCATTTTGGATAATGGGGAATCTTAAAATTAATCTATGCAAATAGTTTATTTCACCCTATGTTCTTATTTTCTGAATAAAATATCCATAGAAAGGAATGAAATCTAGTGGACTTGTTTCTGTTTCACTATGTATCCTTTTCAGTAATTATTACTTAAATTTCTTTAAAATGTTTATACATATATTTTTAAAACCCAGGTCCAGGGGTCCCAATGGTCAGCCTACATAGCACGGACAACCCAGCAAGTAAGTACACAGCAATCCAAAATAGTCATGGTTGATGCTGGTCTCAGGTATTATATTAGTCGTTCTGAGTGCCATACTCTTTAGAACCTTCTTTAAAAGAGTTCCCAGCATGGGGAAAGCTGTGTAGGCACCAACAAATTGGCCTGTGTATGTAACAGTAAGGCGAGTGGATTGAGCCATGTTGCAACTGGAGTTGGATCTTATATGCCTGAAATAGGGTGTCTACTATGTCTATATTAAATGAGGAGGGGTTGATGAGGCTCCTTTAAGCATAGTATTTCATTCTACTATCCCCTTTGTACTCTGGGTTCATTTTTCTTGGTCTCATATAAATTATTCCTCTAGAGCAACACATTTTTTGTACTGGTACTTCTGGGAAAATTAATAAAAACATATTATTTTATATTTTTATTCTATTTGTTCCATATATTCATGAATTCCTGGTTTTATATATATTTATTTATTGTTTAACTTATTTATTCAACTGTTCATCATTTACTGAGTGAGCATGTAATTTAGCAAGCCATATGACAGAGGCTGGATGTACATTGCTGGTAAGACAAAGGTATTATGTTTAAGAACTTAGAGTGCTCAAGTAAATACATGGTTGAGCTAATCTTAAAAAGGAATAGCCAGATTGCTGCCTGCCACCCATTCTTCTTACTTTTTTCCATATTTATTTTCCTTCTTCCAGTTTAACATTTTTATTTCATCAATAATCTTATGCTCTAATAATTTACTGTAGGATACTATAATCTAACAAATCAGGCTTATATTTATTATTTTATTTAATCCTCAGAACACCTCTTGTAATAGTTAATTTTATTACTCTATTTTACAGAAGAGGAAATTGAGTCAGAGAGGTTAAAGAACTCGGCTAGAGTCATACTAGTAGGTGGCAGAACCAGGAATCTAATGTGATAATCTGACTCCAGAACAGGGTTTGTAATCACTCCTACAAGATGACACCTTGTTCAATTGTGTTTTTGTCTCTCACCTCACATACTTATATATTAAGTAGGAGTTTTACTGAAATGCCTAGACTTAAAGAAGATGAAGGCATAAAAAATGCAATGTTGAATTACAAATGTCAATTTTAGAGAACAGAGGAAGACCTTTTGTACTAGTCATGAAAAATAAAAAAGGGCTGTGAACATGGTCTGGTGATTAAATTTCCCTTCAAAAGACAATTATTAAGATGAAATGTACATTCAATTGTAACAAAATAAATCTTCTGGTTAGTCTTTGTTACACTACTGAGGCATTAATAACTCATTTTGGGTCCACATGAAGTAGAACATGGTGTAAAGAGAAAATTGAAATTTAAAAAAATGAAATTTTTTAATAAACATAGAAAACCTTTAAACCCATAGTTACCAAAGAAATGCAAAGTAAAATGCTGATGTGTAATTTTTTCTAACAAATTAATAAAATCAAAATTTGCATTGCTAATGAGGATATAATGAAGAATCTCTTAAATTCCTGGTAGAAATATAAATTATAGCAAATATTTTTAATAAATCATAAAAATTATAAGCCTTAAATCTTATATATCTATTTATTCAGTTTTTTTTTTCTTTTTAATAGTTTATACTGAAAAAATAACTCTAGAGAAAATTATAACAGGGCTATTGATGATAGTGGAAAAGTATATATAAATAACAAAAAAGAAGAATTTATAAATAATGGAATATGCATTAGTGTGCTGAATATCTTCCATTTTTCCTTCCAGACCACTCTTAACTCTGCTTTGCTCTCCCCTGGTCTCTATCCCAGAAATAGTGTGTATGAATGACTTAGGTTCTATTGTAATGTGGATGTCAATTGAATTCAGCTAAAGTGAAGTGAATCACGTAGGTGGTTGAAGAAAGGAGAAAGTGATTTAAAAAAAAAATATTAAATTGTTTCATGTTGTCATATTGCAGGTGTCCCCTCTTTTTCCCCCCTCTTTGCTCACTCCACCCACCCCCACCTCCCCACCCCTTGGCCTTAACCAAAATATTGTCCTTTTCCATGAGGTATGCATAGATGTTCCTTAGTTAATCCCTTCGCCTTCTTCATCCAGTTGACCTCACCCACCTCCCCTTGGGCGCTGGTCAGTCTGTCCCGTGAATCCATGCTTCGATTTTGTTTGTCAGTTTAATTTGTTTATTAGATTCTACATATTAGTGAGATCATATGGTATGAGAAAATGATTCTGGCTTAGCTATTCCTCCAGCCTTATCCCTGTGGAGTCATCCAGCTTGCTACAATTCCTGGCTAGAGGTCGCTGTGGAACTTTCATACAAACATCTTCAAATAACTGTTCTACTCCCCTGATCTGCAGACCTAGCCACTATCGTACCAGCCCTGGGTCATTGCACTAGTTCTTGTGATTCTCTGCCCATTGTCCACATATTTGTAAATAGTCTTTTATTAACATTTTATAAAATTATTCTAATAGAGTTGCCATTAGTTTCCCACTAGGATAAAAAGCATGTTGGGAGGAGACTTGGGGGCTGGGTGAAAAAGATGAAGGGAGGAAGAAAAAAATTGGTAGTTACAAAGGAGTCCCAGAATGTAGAGCATAGGGAATATTCTCTGTGCTGTAATAACTATGCCTGGTGTCATGGGGGTACCAAAATTATTGCGGAAAGACTTTAGTAAGTTATATAAATGTCTAACTGCTATGCTCAACCCGGGCACGTGCCCTGACCAAAATTAAACCTGGAACCTTAAGTCCATAGGCCAACGCTCTATCCACTGAGCCAAACCTGCCAGGACTCTAAGAATGTTTAAGTCACATTTCTAAGTGATTAAGGAGTCCGCATGTTTATGCCACTTGAACAAAACTATTTGAAAATGAATAGATCTCCGGAAGACAATATTTACAAATGCTAAATAAAATTCTTGCATCTACCTGGCAGCCTTCCGGGTGATTTTGATTTTTATTTTATTTTCATTTTTTGCTCTTTCTTCTTGAGTGTTCTCCTATATATCTTTTATGATGAAAAAGAAGTCCTTCATTAAAATGCTCAGTGACTTGAGACAAGGTATAAATGTGTAAATTTTTACTTTAATATTTCAAAAGTTCTTTTGCTTCACATTACTGTTGTCCTCTTTCCTTTTTAAATAGTTTATCTTCCTTCTTTATTTTGCATATACGATTCTTTTCTTTTACACTCATTTTTGTCTCTCCTTTGTTTTTCCTTTCTCCCTATTCCATCTTTCTTCTCATCACACTTCATGCTTCTACTTTTCCATATGTCCTGTCTTTCTCCTTCGCAAGTTTTTGTTCTCATTGTCTTCTCTTTTCTCCTCAATCCTGCACTTGAAGTTGTCTTAACACTTCCTTCTCTTCACAAGGTTTTACAAAAAATGTGTATTAAGCATATTTTCTGAATTTGTCAAAAAAATGCTCTCTGCTCTTAACATTTTGAAAATGGCTTTTAAAGTTTCTATGTATTTTTCCTAAATATAATTTATTTTCCTGTGATCACGAATGAATTTTATTTTATGAATAAATAATGGCCTTTGATTTAGAGTGAAAATGCCTCAACTGCTCCTATACGCATGCAATTAGTTTGCATATAATTAGGTTTATTTTTTCTATTGATATTTGGTAGTAAAGAAAAACCATGAGAAATTATCAGTATGTTATTGGAGAGTAAGAATAGAGATAGAAATTGAAGCTGAGAAAGGTTGAAGCTTTTAGTAATTGGGAAGGTGAAAACACACGGGAGAGGAAGAAGAGCCAGGGAGAAGGAACCTTAGCTACAGGCTTAGGGCTGCAGGGTTCTTCTGAGTCTGCTGCTGTGAATGCCTGAAAGCATGCAGAGGAAGACGCTCTCTGAACCTGGGACTTCAGAGCTCACACGGTGCTGGAATATGTCTTACTTCTAACCAGGCAGGATACTGTAACCTTAGAGATGCCAGAAGAAGCTGGCCTTAGCAGTAGAACCAAACCATCCACATAGCAAAGGTCGCTTAAACCTACACTGAATAAGATTATTTGGAATAATACACCTGACCAGCAAAGAGCCTAAAACATCTGCCAGAAAGAACAAAGCCCAATGATTTTTCAGAGAACAGAGCAAAATACATAACTCAATGTTAACATCAGAAAGGTCAGAATCTAATCAAACATTCCTGGCTATGTGAGGAAGCCAGAATATATGACTCACAACTAGGAAAACCGGCCAGTGAATAGAAATGGATTCAGAAATGTCAGAGATAATGGAACCAGGGCAAATTCAATCAATTTGCTATTATAAATATGTGTAAAAATATCAAGAAAGAGTTAACATAGTGAGAAAAATAGTAATACGTGAAAATTGTACTGGAACATGTGGTGTTCCTCCAGGCAGGATAGTTCCTGGGCTCTTGTCAGGTGGAGTCGAAGAATAAAACCACGGACAAGATGTGGTATAGCAAAGGTGGAAATTTATTGAGAAACAACCACAGACTCCCACGTGGAGAGGGGAGAGTCCCACTGAGTCCCTTTTTTCCATAGTTCATAAAGGCTACAGTTCTTTGTGCCTTGATATCCCCTCTGATTGGTCACTATCCCCCTTAGATTGGTTACTATCGCAACTCTACATCACAAACCTCATGTGAAGTACTTGAGGTTCCCTCCTTCTTCTCCCTTATTGTTCTCCTATTCCCTCTGGGCTTTCTTCCTCCCTCTCTGAGTGAGGGGCTTCCTTTCCTTTATTCTGTAAATGTACGCCTTCTGCCACTCCCAGCTCCCTTATCTTATGGAAATGTACCCTCTGCTGCTCTGTAGCCCTGTGCTTTTTCCATGGACCCCTTAATTCCTAAAATTTCCTAAACCTGCCTATTTCACCCCTAAAAACTCCTTTCAATAGAATATATGATTTAAAGGAAAATTCTAAAGTTAAAGTATCTGAAAAACACTTTACTGCAAAGTACTAAAATCAAATTAAAAACCTGCAAGAGAAAAGATCAGTGAATTTGAGACATTATCAGAGGCCACTTTTAGTCACAGAGGAAAAAAAAAATAACAAATGAAAGAAATGAACAGAGCCTAAGTTAATTTATATTTTAAATTGAGTCAGAAAGGGGAAGCAAGAAAAAAATACCTGATGAAACTGTTGCCAAATCCAAATTTAATGTAAAGTATAAAATGCTCAACAAACCTTAAGCAGGATAAATCCCAATAGAAAAGCAGTGATGAAAGAAAGAAAAAACAGATAAAGGAAAAATTTAAATCATCAAGAATACAAACACACTATATCCACACATTCATCCATAATAACAAAGCCAAGAATGACTCTGGAGTTTTCTTTAGAAGAAAGTAAACCTAAAGACAGTAGAGCAAAATGTTTAAAATGCAGATTAAAAAAAAAAACAAAAACACACACAAAACAAACAATAACAAACGTCAAACGAGAATAATAAAAGCGAAGCCAAAATAAAGAACCAAGAAGCTGAGAATGCATTTCTAAATAATTGATAAAGAGCATGGATAGGGCTTATAGGCAGTAATGTGCGTTCCCTAAGGGCGTTATACTAAGGGAATAAACTAGCCGCAGAGGACAAAAACAGCATGATTAAAGTAGAACTGAGAAAAATAATTAAAAATATTTTGAGCCAAATGAAAATAAAAATACAACTAATCCAAATTTGGGGCTACCTAACATTGTGATTGGAAAGAAATGCATGCCTCTAAATTGTTAGTTTATAAGAAAGAAAAACTTTAAAATCAATCATCTGAGCCTCCACCTTAAGAAATTAGAAAAAAAAAAAAGAGCACATTAACACAAAGTAAGTTGTGGGAAGGAAATCCTATATAATAAAGATGTAATATGCAAATGGTCAGTATGTAACGACCAACCGCATAACGCAGCGGTTCTCAACCTGTGGGTCGCAACTCCTTTGGGGGTTGAACACCCTCTCACAGGGGTTGCCTAAGACCATCGGAAAACACATTATGATTATATAATTACATATTGTTTTTGTGATTAATCACTATGCTTTCATTATGTTCAATTTGTAACAATGAAAATACATCCTGCATATCAGATATTTACATGACGATTCATAACAGTAGCAAAATTACAGTTATGAAGTGGCAACGAAAATAATTTTATGGTTGGGGGTCACCACAACATGAGGAACTGTATTAAAGGGTCACGGCATTAGGAAGGTTGAGAACCACTGGCATAACGGATCAGCAGGAGGGTGGGGCAGTGAGCAACAAGCGGGCAGTGGAGAGCTACAGGAGGGGACAGGGCCGCAAGCCAATGGGGTTTGGGGGGAGGGAGGACAGGGGAGCTACAGGAGGGCGGCAGCGAGCTACTGGTGCACGGACTTGTGTGCAGGGCTACTAGTAATACAGATAAGAGTGGAAATAAATTATATAGAAAATAGACAAACAATAAAGAAATATATGTAAAAAACCAAAATATTTTTCTTTCAAAAGATCAATACAATTCTAGATAGATTCGTATAAAAAGTATGCAATCATTATCATTTTTATTAATGGAATAGTTAACAGATTCTAAAGACATTAGAATGATGGTTATGGAATATTACATGTAATTTTATGGCAGTAAATTTGACATCTTGTATGAAACAAGTAATTTTCTTTAAAGACATAAATTGTTAAACAATCAAACAAGAAGAAATAAAATGCTTAATAACCTGTTATCTATTAAAAATTTTAATTCACAGCTAACATTCTTCCCACAAAGGAAACTCCCATTTCAGTTAGTTTCGCTGGTACATGCTGTGAAATATTTAATATATTGATACTAAGCCTACATAAACTCTTAGAAAATATAATGATAGCATCAACCAGATCCCAAATCCAGCAGAGATATTACAAATATAAAAAATCAATTTTATTCATGAATACAGATACAAAACTTCTTAACTAATTACTAGCAACTAAAATCAAGCTGCTTATAAAAGGATAACATATTATGATTATTTGGAGAATCCATGGTAGTTTCAACATTCATCAATCAATTAATATAATCCATTATGAAATATTGTAAAAGCAAATAATTTAGAAAAAAGCTATTGATTCATTTGAAAAGAATAATATTAATAAATATTAATAACTCAGAAAAAAGATAAACTTCTTAACTTGGTAATGCTATCCACAAAAATACTACAACTGACATTATACTTAATGTTGAACTATGGAATGCTTTTCCCCTAAGATTGGGAAAAAGTAAGGAATACCTGCTCTCATCCCCTTTATGCAACATTGTATTAGAGGACTTAGCCAGTGAAATGAAGAAAACAATATATAAATAGGTAGAAAAACTGTACTTATTTGCACAAGACTTACCTGTAAATAAAACAGAAAATAAACAAAAATATGAAATCCACACCCACTCACACAACTATTAGAAATAATGAGTCTATGTATCATGGTTACAGGTATAGATCAATATACAAAACCAGGTATTTTATAAACTATGATGCAATGCAAAATTAAAAAGTAATTCAAAATACTATTTAAAATAACATCAGAAATCATATAATATTCAATAATAATCTAACAAAAAAGTGTAAGTCCCCTAAAATGAAAACAAGCATTGTTGAAAGAAATTAAAGAAATTAATTGGTCTAGAAGGCCCATTTTTAATAGATAAAATATCTCCAATAAGTATATAGATTTAATATATCAGTAAGAAATCCCGCTAGTTACTCATACTCCTCCATGTTTGATGATTGTTCCTCTCTCTTTTTTTCATTTTTATATTAGTGGCCCAGTACACAAATTCATGCACATTAAAAGGAAATTAATTAGAAGAAATATTTTAATATCGCCATTCACCCTTTCTCTATAATAGAAATGTCAGCCAAATTCACGATGGACAATGACAGATAGAAACACACCAGTGTGATTAGTGCCAGTGAGGGCTTTATTTGTGTCACCCATGTGCAAGCCAACTTAGTCTTTTATACATATGGAATAAACTTGCTTAATTAGACCTGCTTTCTAATGTAGCTAAACTTTTTCCAGCCCTGTGAAACACCCCAACTTCTCTTTCAGGTAATTGTCAGCAACACAGCAGCAAATATCAGCACGAAGCAGATTATTATTGTAGATCATGCAGGGAGAACAAAGGGTAAAATATTTAACTGCAGCAGTGTTTGACTATATTTTGGGCAGTGAGAAAACCTGAAGTCATTTTCAAGGTCCACCATTTCTTACTTCTTTTCAGTCAGGTCAAGTTTCTAAGCTTTCTAAATCTCTGTTTCCTGGCTAATGAAAAGAAAATAGGATTCCACCGAGTCTCCTATCTACCTACTCCAAGACTTCTGTGAGGATCAAATGAGATGAGGCAAGGGAAAATGCTTCACAGACATTTGGTTAAAGTGTAAATGTTTCCACCTGGCTATAAAGCAAGTCATGTTCCTGGGCTGAAGAAACTGCAAGGAGGCTAGTCACTAGGGAGAGGAAGCCGGGCGTTGCTATATGACATCATTACCGGGACGGTGGGACGCTTAGCATATTAGCCTTTCATATATATAGATGCTCTCTTGCTACATTGTCAGATTCATTAAATTTTTCTGAAGTATCTAATATGTTATTAATCTCACCCAGTATTGTTTCATTAGATCTCATAGTTTTCACATATCTCAGATTTTGCTTTTTAAATTTTTTTTTAAATTTAACTTGTATCCTTCTCTTTAAATTTCTTTCATATTTTTCCTTAACAGCTTCATACTTTTTCTTATCTTATTAAACACATAAAATATAATTACAATGTCTGTTTAAATATAATTATTTATCCATTATATCATTTGTGTCATTCCTAGGTCATTTCTATTGATTAAATTTGGAACGCATCATGTGTGGTATTTTTCTGATATTTTGCATGCTTGGGAATTTTGAATTGGAATTCTGGATTTCTGAATTTCATCGCATTGGGTGCTTGATAATTTTGTATTCTTTTTAAATATAATAAGCAGAGTAGGAACATGATCAGATTTGCATTTTGAAAATGCAAATGCTAATTCCAAGTATAGGGGCAACTGGAGAAAATGTCACTGGAATTCAGTGAAAAAACTGGTGTAGTTTCCAGAAGAGAAAGTATGAGCATTTCATCACTGCTTAGCTCATGCTGCCAAGTGTTAACAGCTGGATAATTATTTGTTGTGTTGCACTGATTCTTGATCAACACACAGCAGTTAGTAATTTGTACTTCCTTTTTGATTTGTAGAATATTTTATATTGGAAAGCAATTCCATGCTAAAGGAAGCTATCCTGAAGAAGATAGTGAAGTCAGAAGTTAAAACGATTCATATTGATGACTATGGTAAAGTTCTGTGCATGCTATGTTATTTAAGAACAACTTTCTCTGCATCTTATAGTTTTACTTATAAATGACTCTACATCTTTAATATTTTGCTCTTTCTTTAAAAGAACTTCCTTTACAGTTGTCCTTTCCCAAAGACTTTACGGACCGAAACAAGTATGCTCTTCTGTTAATAATGTAAGTATTTTATTTGTTTTTGAAAAAAAAAAGGAATCTAAAGATTTTATATTTTTTCTTAAGCCTCACATGACAGCATTCTGATTAAAACAAACAAACAAAATAACCCAGAAGAAGTGTAGTTAACTGGGGAGCTGTCAGTTGTATGAGTGCCTCAAAGACACAGACATTAATAGTAAGGAGGGATGTGTAATTGCTTTGTCCTTCTTTCATTCCAAATGGGACTGAATGTTACTATTGGGTATAGTGAAAGGATATGATTTGGTTTATGTCTGCTTAACAATTGCTCAACCAGACATAAACCAAAGTATATATATATATATATATATATATATATATATATATATATATTATTTAAATGATATTGATGGGTGTATAAATTTCTTTCTCGGGGATTTATTTGTCATATCAAAGCTATGCTCACTTCACAAAAGCATTTTTTTTTAATTGTGGTATGAACACTTAATGTGAGATCTACCTTGTTAAATGTTTGCGCTCACAGTACAGTATCATTAGCTATAGGTGCAGTGTTTCACAGCAGATGTAGAACGTATTTGGTTTGCATGACTGATACCAGCTACCCATAGAGCAACTCCCATTTCCCCTCCACCCAACCGCTGGCAGCCACCAGTCTACTGTCTGCTTCTATGAGTTTGACTACACTAGGTACCCCTTGTAAGAGGAATCATGCTGTTCTTGCTCTTCGGTGACTGGTTCACATAGCATAACATCCTTAAGGCACATCCATGTTGCAACATCATGCCCTATGTTGTTAATCGGGTGTTTATGTAATATGGAGGAAACGTTTCTTTTCATTGCTGAAACATTGGTTACGCTTATATCACTCCTATCAGTTTTCCTTCCTGGATGCTTGGCCAGCAGGAAGTAGTTCTCATGCTCAGAAAACTTGAATATTAGGCATCTCAACATGGAATTGACTCTAGAATTAAATTAATCCATGCTTTCTGTGAGATTATATTGTGGCTGTGTGATATTGGGCACAGAGGCCCTTAGCAGATAATGGTTCATGAATTTGATATTGATGTAGCATTGTATTCCTGAGAGTTATGCTATTTTCCTTATTAAAAACCCAGCCAGCATATTGCTATGGCAGTCTAGAGTTATATCAGAGGCTCAGTAGCAATGATAGAAATGACAATAACATTACTTGTTATGACTACTAGATGCAAGGATAGTATTGAGTCTGCAGAATCAAACTGCCTGGCTTCCAATTCCACTTTAGTCATTGCTAGCTGTATGTCCTTGAGCACATTACTTAACTTCTTATAAGGATCAGTTTCTCCAAATGTAAGCAAACATTGCAATAGAGCCTGTGTCTTCAGGCTGCTTTTGGATTAAGTGAAATACATCATATGAAGTCCTAGCACACATGGTTATTATAATTAATGTGATTATAATTCATTATTTAATATAGACTGTATTGATTTTATTTAGGTATTTTAATAATTAGAAGCAATTTTTCACTTCATTTTAATAAGCCAAATAATACAGAAAATAAAATACTTAGTATTTTCACTTGGCCCAGTGTTTATTCCTAACTATAGCGCTTTGGCCTCAATTCATTTTTTATGCCCAGACCTTTCTCCTTTGTCACAAATAGCCAAAAGGGTCTTGAGTCTCTCTGGGGAAGTTCTTATGAGCTCTTTTTTTATGTTAACTTTTTATTTTGCTTCTTCATTTCACCTTTCTGTTTTCAGTCCCTACTTGAACTACATGTGTGACAGATTGAGGGAAATATTTAAGGCATAAAAATGGAACAAAAAGTGGAAAAGATTCAACCTCACCCTCTGTTTCAGTCCTATTTGCCTTTGGGAAAAGGGATTGTCCTTTTCATTCAGTGGGAAATATGGTTTCTCTAGGCATCCTTGCTTAAAGGATGAGTCCTTTGGGAGATAAGTAGACAAGAGCTACAGATTCTCTGTAACTAGAGTCAGAGAAGACAGCTGGATGGTCCTGGCATCAGGTTTGGGCTTTGCTGTGGGTGATTTTTAGTTCATAAGAGGAATGTGAGGACTAGCACAAGACTCAGTTTCTCTTGTTAGGAAGGGATAATCAGGTCTTTTTTAGAGGCAGGCTGGTAGAGTAAAGGCACTGGCTAAGGTTCAAACCCTAACTCATTTACCAATATATTGCTTAATCTTCCTAAGTTTCTGTTCCTTTATAGATAAACGGGAGATAATGACATGGCATAATTTATATCCACATGTGTTTGGTAGAGCATGAACATTTGTACTTAGGGTTCAATAAATCATAACCATAATCATAGTTATTAGTAGAAGTAGTACTTTTTACCTTTTTTTATAATCCTCACCTGATAATAAATATATATATATATATTTTACTGATTTTTAGAAAGAGTGTGAGAGAGGGAGAGAGAGAGAAAAACTTTGATGTGAGAGAGACACATTGATTGGTTGCCTCCCACACACGCCCTGGACTGTGCTGGGAAGCAAACCCACAACTTTAACCACTGAGTAGTATCAGTTAGGGCTATTAGTAGTATTTTTAATATTTAATATTATCACTATAACATATATAGTTTAGCATCCATAAAGTTATTTAATAGACATTCATTACTAAAGTCGATAAAGTAATCTAGCCAAGGCCCATAGAATTTACTTTGTAACTTTTTGGTTGATGAAGAAAAGAATGAAAGTGAGTATCATTTATTAGTTTTTATAAGCTGATTATACTAAATATTAATTTACTTTATTCAAACAGCTTAGTTTTCAGATGTAAATTCTCAGAAGTTTAGTGGAATATGACTTATAAAACTAAACTGAAGACTTTTTAAATTTTTCATTTAAGAAATGATCTATTGTCTTAAGCTGCATGATCATGACTAAAATATTTATACTTGGAAGCTTATATGTGTAAAGATGGCTTAAGTGTGAAGTGTTTTGTAATTGTTTGTTAGATTGTCTATAATTTAGAGGCATTGTTTTTCCTTAAGGTTAAATCCTGTTTTCAGTGACAAGTGGATTTCCCACTCTTCAAAAGAAGATAATGATAATTGATGATTTTTTTTTCCTTAAATGGGCAATTAGTGAGGAATAATAGATAAAGTGACTATTATTTAAATGAGACTAAGAGATGATTATATGATTTTGGCATCACAACTTGATTGCTATTCTGTGCAGTGCATCAAGTTCTCAACAGAATGAGCCTCTTATGTCGCATACACAGATGGGTTTACAACCAGGAAATTCTGTGATAAATACATGAGTAGGAGACAGGTCACAGCAAATGCCTGAGTAGCTGGGAGGATGATGGGCCTTGAAGAAAGTGACCACTGGCAATTAGCAGGTTCTTTTCTATTAGATATTCATTATTGAACCTCAGAAGAAATGGTCCTCTGAATGCTTCTTTGTGTCCATATTATCTAAAACCCAAATCTAATTTCATGGTATTGAAAGGGCTGGTGAATCAAAGGCACAGGATATTTTACTGTAATAGAAAATCTAAGAAGCTTTGTCACTACAAATATATCTGAATGGCCTCGATTTTCAGTGGTTTCTATGAGGTCATGACTCCCTTTTCCTTTCCTAATTCTGTTCTCTTTCCAGATGCCTAAACATATTTCTCTAGTTTCTCTGTTTAACATCATAGGCAGTCTTTAGGGACCCAGGAGTCCATATTCACCTTTATACACCTATACATATGGAATGGACATACATCTATATTAATTTCAGCATTTATCACTTTGAACTGTTATTGTTTATGTTCTTATTTTCTACTAATGCATTTGTAATTTAATGTAATGCACATGTACCATGTTGCTTTTATGTGTAGGAAGCTATACTAATGTCTGTAGAGAGACATTAAAAAATGACAAGAATCTTGAAATCTGTAATAGTTTTTTAGATTTAAGTTTATCTCTAAGCACACATAGGAGAAAGAATCCTTTTAAAATGTACTGACAAACTTATAATTTTCTTAATTGTGCAGGACTGGAGATTATGTGGAATAACCTACAATTACAGTGCTTATTTGATAAATACATAAGCATGAATCTGAATGCCAAGACCCTGGTAGAAAGCAATCCAGACAGATGCACTGTTATTAAAGATGAAGGGTTGTGTGTTGCTTTGTTTGCGGTCCATGGAGAGAAGTGCTGTCAAACTAGAAGTTTCATTCAGTGCTAAGAAATCACCATCTTTTTCCATTTCCTGCTCTTTTAATGTTCAACTTCTCTACACCACACTTGATAAGGTCTAACTCAGGGAGGCAGTGACTGTTCAAGTTAATGTATGGGATGAAGCACACTCTATCTGACCCCATGACTTGGTTCCCTGTCCTTAAACCCATGTCTCTTGAAATTCTAATGAATTCATGGATATCCAGCAAGTCTTATCTTACTGAAGCTCTCTTTCCCTCTCCTCATCAGTCTATCTTACAATAGTTAATCCAAGCGTCCATATACAAGTATATAGTTTTATGTCAGCAGACTCTCCATCTATCTTAAACCAAATCATATTGTCCCTTTTCCATTTGTGAGGATGGTTTTATATGTTAATTAAAGAATTTCTGACTCCCACTAGATTTTGGACCAATGTTTCTGAAGGAAAATCTGCAGTTTAGATGTTAGTATTTAGAAAATTAATTGATAGATTGGCTTATGGAATATTTCATATCTTCTTTTAAAATATATTTTATTGATTTTTTACAGAGAGAGAAACAGAGAAGGATAGGGAGTTAGAAACATCAATGAGAGATAAACATCAATCAGCTGCCTCCTGCACACCCCCTATTGGGTATGTGCCTTCAACCAAGGAACATACCCTTGACCAGAATCGAACCTGGGACCCTTCAGTCCACAGGCTGACACTCTATCCACTGAGCCAAACCGGTTAGGGCTGAAATATTTCATATCTTAAGAAAATTGAAATGCTAAAATATTCATTTTATGTAATCTATATATTAAACAGTGCCTAACTTATTTGTGTATTTTTATAGCAACTAGCTTTTGTAATAAGAGT